TGGCGGGGAGAAAGCGAAGTGAGCTGGCCTCCCCGACCAACTGCCCTCAACCAAACCGTTGGTTGAAAGAGTCCCTCTGTTAGTTAATATTTACATTTAAAGTAGTATACCTCAAACTTGATCATATAAACTACTTGATAAACAGCGTCGATGAACAGTGCAAATGCAGCTTTTGGCAATCCCCAACGTTGAGATTGTAGACATTGCAGTAATTCATTGTCTTGCTATAGAAGATACAATCAATAAACAATCTTTATTCCCACAGCTCTGCTTTCATGCACTTCTCAAAATCAAGGAACCACTGGAGTAGTACAGATAATTTTTTACGCTTTTGTGTGAGTCGTTTGTAAGGAGCAAAATGTTTTACTACTAGTTCTAAAAAACGGCCTTTTTTTAAAAAAAAATCTCGCGTCTGGGGTATAAGATGTGCAGAGGTTCGCAGTAAGAAATTAGCAACTGGCAGTTCATAGTATCACTCTAGTAGTACTGTTATAGTAGTAGGATTAAGCTTAGTCTTAATAATAAAAAAAACTCGATGGTGTCTTGGATTGCACTTTGTAACTTGCCTAACCTTGGTAAATAACTTCAGCAATCAAGTACAATTTTCTCGCACTCCACAGTCCGAAGTAACAATTGGCAACGATGTCGAAGGCGGGGTATACTTGGCAAGCGTGATGGGGACCCCAGGATTGCAAGGAATAAAGACAGCGGTCGAAGTCGGAATCTTGCAGTCAATCGGAGTCAGAGATGCTGAAGCATTGGTTGGTTTGCTGAAGCACACATGGATAGCAGCCAGACTGTTACCAGACCCGCCCCAATTGCTGCCATCGAATGGTGCGACAGCCGAGCACAATACCTGGACACGTGTCTGGTAAAGCGCTGTGATCGCAGGCAGCGTCGTCCACGGATCGCTGGACATCGCCCACCCATTTATCGTCTCTGTGGCATCCTTGTATACCGCCGCAGCACGCATTGCCGCCCTGAAGTATTCCCGTGCACTGAGGCTGAAATCATCCCCACCATTGGCGGCATAGCAGAGTCCATGCTTTTGGAACTCGTGATTGTACAGCTCGCACAGCGTGTGGAAGCTCGACGGTTGTGTAGGGTCCACCCAGACTCTGTCCATCTCACTCAGCAGCTCTGGCGACTCTGCAGCGAAACCCAGTGCGTCGAATGGCTGGTTGCGGATGGTGTCGCTGACGTTGCAGCAGGCAGAGAAGCCGGCGTAATAGTTGGGCCAAAGGCCGTGGATGGAGAGTTTGCTGACAGCCTTAGAAGGCTCACACACGATGCCGTGTGGGTATTTGTTCACGTTGCGGTGTGATATCGTGAGATCAACACCAGCCAGCAGGTCGCGACAAAACTGCGGGAGGAAGAGCAGCTCCAGCACCAGGAAGTCGTAGTCTCCAGGCTGCTGCTTCTTAGCAAGGCACGACGGGTCATGCGTCGGGCAGATTGGGCTCGGTGATGCGTGTACACAGATGTCCACGCATTGCTGACCATCCGGCAACCAACCGCCAGGGTAGTCTACCGCCAACACAGGCGCGAGCAGGGCCGCAAGCAGGAGCAACAGCATCTCTATCCTATTGGGATACTAACTTGAAGATACCTTTTCAAAATCTAATTTGCGACACGCATTTTTAACCAATGATTACGAGCACAATTGTTGTGCTGCTTGGTGTTGCCCTGCTACAATTCCTCTTGCCTCCTCCCCCGCAGACGATGGTTCTCCGCGTGTCCAGCACTCCCGACGAGGTCGGAGCCGCCGTTGGCCAGCTCATATTTGACTTGAGCAAGCAGGCCATTGCCACGCACGGTCGCTTCACAGTGGCTCTCTCAGGTGGTTCGCTGCCCAAGGTAATGTGATGTGCGAAGATCGCATGATGGCTGTTGCTGACAACTTCGCTGTAGATCCTGAACAAGGGCCTCCAGGCCATCAAGGGCGACGTGGACTTCTCCAAGTGGTTCGTCTACTTTGCCGACGAGCGCTGTGTGCCGCTGGACCACGACGATAGCAACTACAAGGCCTGCAAAGCGGCACTCTTCGACTTTGTAAGCGACTCGATTTAGTTTACCTGGTGTATCATTAGCTCTCTGACACTTCAGTCTTTTGTATGCAGATTCCCGTGCCGGCAAGCCAGATCTACACCATCGATGCCTCCCTAACGCCAGAGACCATGGCAGTAGACTACACCAAGAAGCTGGCCGAAGTCTGGGGCAGCGACGTGGTGCGTCCTCGCAATTTGCTCTGCTGCAATCTCTTCGAAGACTAACGATGCTACCTGCAGCTCCCCAGCTTTGACCTAATTCTGCTGGGCATGGGCCCGGACGGCCACACGTGCTCGCTCTTCCCGGGCCACCCGCTCCTGGAGGAGAAGACGCTGTTCGTGGCGTCCATTGAGGACTCGCCCAAGCCGCCTCCGCAGCGTATCACACTCACGTATCCAGTCGTCAACAACGCCGCCAACGTACGTCGTTTCTGTTGCCTTTCAACTTGTCAATGACTAAATTCTATGTCTCCTGCAGGTTGCATTCGTTGCCACTGGCGCTGGCAAGGCCGAGCTGATCCCCCACATGATCGGGGTCGAGAAGCGCACGCCACCGCTTCCTGCTGCCAACGTCAAGCCCACGGACGGCGTCGTCTACTGGTTCATCGACGAAGACGCCGCCGCCAAGCTCTCGGACGACGCCAGAATGTAGGCAGCCGCAGCAAGTGTACCATGAGCATTTTGGTAGTCGTTCAGCAAGTCAAAAATTGACGTGGACGTTTCGTCAGCTTTGATTGGCAGGGTTCCAGCCAATTATGTCCCATTTTGATCGGATTATATGCACTTTTGTAAGGGCCACCTTTTCTGTTCGAGCCATTGTGCCCCACTTCGATTTGATCCCCTCATTTGAAGATCCGCTCGAAGTGATCGACGATGGCGACTGACAAACAGAAGAACGCGCTGGCCGTGGCCGCCTGTGCTGTGGCACTCGCTGGTCTGGCTGTGTGGGCACGCAGCAAGCAACAGCAGCGCACGCGTCTGTTGCGCAAGCAGCTGACAAACCTGCGCTTCGACCTGAGTGTGGCGGAGATTGAGGCCGAGACTAAGCGAATCCTGGCGCAGATGAAGCGCGTGGACGACGAGATCGCGGCGCTGGCGCCGTCCGCCGTAACATTTGAGAACACAGCGCAGAAGCTCGTCGATCTGGACCACGAGATGCTCAGCCGTGTGACCAACGTGACGTTCCTCGGACAGGTGGCGGCCGACAAGGAGACGCGAGATGCCTGCACCAAGGCGGACGAGGCCATCGAGGACTTCTCCGTGCAGCGCAGTATGCGCGCGGACGTGTACAAGGCCATTAACACGCTCTACAAGAGTGCCGCCTATCAGGTGCGAAGAAAGCAGAGCAGGTTTGGCTCAGGAGGCTTGATACAGAACTGACTTGAGGATTCTTGTTTGCTATTGCCAGAAACTTGATGCAGTCACACAGCGCTACGTGCACCGTCTGGTTCAGGACTTTGAACGCAACGGACTGCAGTTGCCGGAGGAGAAGCAGAAGGAGGTGCAGGCCTGGAAGCAGAAGCTGTCCAAGCTCGGTATCCAGTTCCAGCAGAACCTCTCGGAGGAGACAGTTGAAGTCACGTTCTCGCATGACGAGGTGAAGGGACTCAGCGACGATTTTATCGCTGCGTTGGAGAAGGGCGACGACGGCAAGTACAAGGTGAGACCTTCTATATCTTATATTATGATATTGTCGATTCTGACGGCCCTTGCCGTTCCAGATCGCTCTCTCCTACCCGACAGTGTTCCCGATCCTCAACACGTGCACTGTGGAGTCGACTCGCAAGGCCGTAGAGTACGCCTTTAACCGCCGCTGTATCGCTACGAACGTTGCTATCCTCGAGGAAATGCTGGAGATCCGTCACAAGGTGGCACTGGCTCTGGGATACGAGAACCACGCTGCGTATGTTCTGGAGCAAAGGTGAGATATTGTCACTTGTACGACCAGTTTAGAACAAGACCACCTCTGACTTGTTGGTTCTTGATACTAGGATGGCCGAAACTCCAGCGAACGTGAAGAAATTCTTGAACGATCTGGACAATAAACTTGTGCCGCTTGCCAAGAAAGACTTGGACGACTTGTTGAAGCTGAAGGAGGCCGACTGTGAGCGCAACGGATGGAAGTTTGACGGCAAGATCAACATGTGGGACTTCCGCTTCTACATGGACCAATACGTCAAGAAACATTGCTCCATCGACTCGGAAAAGCTTCGTGAGTACTTCCCGCTTACCCACGTGACGGCAGAATTGCTGTCCATGTACCAGGAACTGCTGAGTCTCAAATTTGTGGAGATTTCGCAGCCTCACGTGTGGCACAAGGATGTCCGCATGTTCGCAGTCTACGATGCTCGTCCGGGTAAAGAAGGCAGCCTTGTGGGTCACTTCTACCTGGATTTATTCCCTCGCGCTGGCAAATATGGCCACGCTGCCTGCTTCACGCTGCAACAGAGCTGCACCAACTCTGCTGGTGTCCGAGAGGTGCGTTGGTATCCGATAATTAACCGTTAGTAACTGGTATCTAACATGTTACGTTGACTGATAACAACAGTACCCTGCTGCCGCCATGGTGGCCAACTTCAACGCCCCGACCAAGTCCAAGCCGTCGCTGCTGGGCCACCAGGAGGTCGTCACGTACTTCCACGAGTTCGGCCACGTGATGCACTGCCTGTGCTCGGAAGTGGACATCCCCCGCTTCGCTGGAACACGTGTGGAGCGCGACTTTGTGGAAGCCCCGAGTCAGATGCTGGAGAACTGGTGCTGGGAGAAGGAACCGCTGCAGCGTCTGTCCTCGCACTACGAGACTGGCCAGGTGCGTCTGCCTGTTTGAAATCTCCGTCTTTCATCTCATCTAACTTGCCGTGTGTATTGGTTATAGAAACTCTCGGACGACCTGATCGCTCGCCTGATCTCGACGAAGAACGTCAACACTGGCCTACTGAACAAGCGCCAGCTACTCTTTGCCATCTTTGACCAGACCATCCACTCCAAGCCCAAGTCGAACACGGCGCAGCTCCTCAAGCAGCTGCAGACTGAGATCATGCTCATCGACATGACGCCCGAGACGAACTTTGCAGCGTCCTTCGGCCACTTGGCTGGCGGCTACGATGCCCAGTACTATGGCTACATGTGGAGCGAAGTCTTCTCCATGGATATGTTCGTGTCTCGGTTCAAGAAGGAGGGACTTATGAACCCCAAGACGGGACTGGCGTACCGTGAGCTCATCCTGGCGCGCGGTGGCTCTGTGGATGCGAGCGTCATGCTCAAGGACTTCTTGGGCCGAGCGCCCAACCAGGACGCGTTCCTGCTCAGCAAGGGACTCAAGGTTGACGCCTCCAGTTGAAGGCGGGTTGAAGCTGTATTGTAGCGCGCCTCATTCTGATCTGATAAAAAAAATCTTTGATTGGCTGGAATATTTGTGTAAAGTTGGTGTGCATAGGAGTTTCTTTCACTAGATTCAGGATTGGGCGAACAGACAGACTACAAGTTGCCACGTCTTCACAAAGCTCCGACAAAGATGGCGTTTGAGGCGGCTGTAGTGGGGCTCCCTGGCAACTCGTACGCCTTCACCAACTGCGTATACGTGCACCTGGATGACTTCATGTCGCTGGTCAAGCAGACGCCCCCGGGGGTCGTGACCAAGGAGGATCTACGAGCTCACGGACTCAATGTCTGGATCAACCGCAAGTTCGTCATGGCAGCCAAGCCCCACAAGGAAATTCAGCCAGGAACTGTGGCCGTGGGAACTATGCAGCGCATGTGCGTAGGATTGCCCCTCAATCAGGCCTGCGAAGTCTCGGTCTACGCGCCCTCGAGCGCTGCCAAGGGCGTTCTGAGTACCGTCACCTTCGAGATCCAGCAGGTTCTTACGCGTGCGCAGGGCAACGACATGCGTGTGGTGGACTGCAGTTTGCTTAAGGATGTCTTCGAGGCCGAGTACACGCACCAGGTTTTCGCCGTGGGGCAACTCATGGCTGTCAGGTGCGACGGCCTCCCGCTGCGGCTGCAGTGCGTCAACATCGACACAGTGGACGGGGACAATGGCAGTCACGACTCCTACGCTCCACGTGTCGGCGCCTATCTCCAAGGAGCCATCATCAACTTCACCAAGGGGAAGGACGCTCCCATCCGCCTCACTAACCAGTCCAGCGGCATGACACGCACCGTATTCAAGCCAGATTTCGACTTCAGCAAGCTCGGTATCGGAGGTCTGGACAAGGAATTCAACGACATTTTCCGTCGTGCTTTTGCCTCTCGATTGTTCCCGACCGACGTCATCCAGAAGCTTGGCATCCAGCACGTGCGCGGTATGCTGCTATTCGGACCGCCTGGTTGCGGTAAAACGCTCATTGCACGTAAGATCTCGCAGGCGCTGACTGCCAAGGAGCCCAAGGTGGTCAATGGACCCGAAATTCTCGACAAATTCGTCGGAGAATCCGAACGAAAGATTCGTGAACTCTTTTCTGATGCACGCAAAGACCAGGAAGAACTTGGAGACGAGAGCGACGTCCACATTATCATTTTTGATGAAATTGATGCCATCTGTAAACAGCGTGGCTCAAGTCGCGATGGCACAGGCGTGGGTGACAGCGTCGTGAACCAGCTATTGACCCAGATCGACGGTGTGGACAGCCTGAACAACGTCCTGGTGATCGGTATGACGAACCGAAAGGTACGAGTTCCTGCCTGTGCTAATGTTATATTTGATTTTTGAAATCTTATTGTGATTTTTTGATTTCACCAGGATATGCTTGATGAAGCCTTGATGCGTCCTGGTCGTCTCGAAGTGCAGATCGAGATCAATTTACCTGATGAAAAGGGTCGCGCTCAGATTCTCAAGATCCACACAGACCGCGCTCGTGAGAAAGGAGCGTTGCACCCGAAGGTTATTGCAGACTTGGACAACTGCCTCGACCCGACCAAGTTCGTGAGTGACGATCCGGACTACAACAACCTCGTTCAACGCACCAAGAACTTCTCCGGTGCAGAAATTGAAGGTTTGGTGCGTGCTGCTACCGCTCACGCTCTCTCACGTGGTACCGATGGTCGAACGATGCACGCTATCGCCAATTTCAATCCAGAAATCTCCATGGAGGACTTCGCTCTGGCATTGCAGGAAGTGAAGCCCAAGTTTGGCGCTCCCAGTGATCAGTTGGCGCTGTATTACAAGAACGGACTGATCCCGTACGGTAACTCGTTCACGGACGTGCGTGAGGCGCTAACTCGAGTGATTGAGCAAGTCCGCTCGAACGACAAGACGCCGCTCATGTCGGTGCTGCTGCACGGTGAGCGCGGAGCTGGTAAGACTGCGCTGGCGACGTACTGCGCTGTCGCTAGTGAGTTCCCATTGGTGCGCATGGTGAAGGCGTCGGAGCTCATCTCGCGTGCCGAGAGTGGCAAGTGCTCGTACATCTACAACGTGTTCGAGGAGGCCTATCGATCGCCTCTCAGTATCATCATTCTGGACGATATCGAGCGACTCATGGACTACGTTGGTACGAATACGAGATTGATTGTTGAGGAAGAGTAATTGTCATATGTGGCTAACGTTTTTTTTCTTCAGGTCTGGGCCCTCGCTTCTCGAACCTGGTGCTGCAGGCGCTGATGGTGCTAGTGCGCAACCCTGTGCCCGTGGCTGGCCGTAAGCTAGTGGTGATCGGTGTCACATCTAACATCGCCGCCATGCAGGCAGTAGAGCTCAGCGACGTGTTCGATCTGTGCCTTGAGGTGCCGCAACTGACGCAGAAGGACGAGCTGGACGCCGTCCTGACGCACACGGGGCTGCCTGTGGCAGACGACCAGAAGGACGAGGTGCTGACGCTGCTGTCCGACCGCCCGATATCGGTCAAGAAGCTGCTGCTGGTGACGGAGATGGCCAAGGAGGAGCTCAATCGCACAGGCGAGAGCAACATCACGGCTCACCAGCTCATCGAGTGCGCCTACAAATTCGTGTAGAATCGCCGATCCAGGAAGTTGAAGTTGTCTCAGCATACAAACTCCTAGATTGAATCTTCTATTTGGGTGCTTCACTGTATTTAGTTTCTCATCCAAACTTTTTTTTCTTTCTCATTCACAAAAAGATTCCTTTGCTTGAGCATCAAGCGCCGTTGACAGTACTAGCGATGGCTAAGAAGTCTAAGGGCGGTAAGAACAAGACGCCCACGTCCACGCCCACACCGACGTCCACCAAGAAGGTGGATGGTGGTCCGGATCAGGAGCCGCCGGCCACGGACGAGCAGGCGACGGCGGTCAAGGAACAGCACCGTCGTGCCAGCGAGAAGATCGATCACCTTTTGGAGGCACGACCTGACGCCGAGGAGCTGGAGCAACGCAATGTGCTGCCCACAGCCTCCCCTAACGTCGCACCCACGCTGCAGGGAGTACAGAAGGAACTACAACGCAAGATGAGTGCGGCTGAGCTGGCGCATCGCCTCGAGAGCCGCCCGGACGTGCAGGAGCTGCGTGATCTGGACATCATACACGGCGGAGACGGCGTGGCACCCAGTCTGCAGGCCACACAGGAGAAACTGCAGCGCCAGATCAACTCGGACAAGGTACACCAACATCTGACCAAACGTCCGTCCATCGAGGAGCTCCGCACTACGGGTGTGCTTGAGACGAGCGCCGAGTTGGCCCCTAGTCTCACAGCCACCGCCAAGAAGCTGGAGCGCAACTTGGTGCAAAACCAGGTGTCGCACTTGCTTGAGTCGCGGCCCGAGAAGGACGAGCTCGTCTCGCACAACATCCTGGAAGGTGAGCCACAATCCTGAGCTCTTACATGAGCTGATTTACTCATTATTTATTGATGCTAAGCAGATCAGGACGCGGCGGTGGCGCCTGTGCTACAAGGAGCCAAGCATCAACTCGAGCGCCAGTTGAAAGCGGACCAAATCGCGCGCCAATTGCGCCACCGACCGTCTGTGACGGAGTTGGAGGAGAAGGGAATCATTGACGGTGAGGAGGCCACTGCGATCAAGCAGGGATCCGACTTCTAACGCGTTTGATGCACTGCTGCTAGAGGGCGAACTGGGCGAGGACGGACTGCAGAAGAAACGCTCGCTCTCGCAGCGTGCACGCTACGCTTTGGCACTCAAAGCAGCCAGTCGCATAGCAGCAGACAAGTTGATCTCAGCAGAGGAGAAAGCGCGTCTGAAGGATTTGATTTTGAGCGACGACGAGAAGGTCGTAGCTGCCCTCGAGTGCTACGAACTGGATGAAGATATCGAGGAAATGCTGGACACACTGTACCGCGTCGCCAAGGTGTCGACGTGAGGGAATGAATACTATACCTTTGCTTTTTTTTTCTTGGTTGCAGTGGCAGCTTAGGAACAGATTCAAATGATTCTTGAATGGACAAGAAACTGCATGCAATCGCAACTTCTTGTCTTGTTACTAGGATCTCGCATCCATAAAGGCATCCACGCCATCGCGAATGGCACTGGTAAAGCAACAATGTCAGTGATGGTAAAGACACAAAATAATACTTGAGGAGTGTTGGGTGTACCTGATCTGAAGTAGCGAATCTACCACACCGAAGAAGGTGCGGTCTTCTAAGGGCATGGCTTGTGTGGCAGGCGGCTCCGGGTGCTGTAGCCACGCCGAGAACAACAACAGATGGCCGTTCATCTCGATGAACTCCTTTTGCAATTGTTTCTCAGTTGAAAGCGTATGCGGCAGAGTCTGGATTGGGCAATTGTTAGCTGCGTTCATCCTTCAAAGGTATACTAAGTAACATTTTAGCTTACCTCCACAAGTGTATAACTTGAACGCGGGAAGCTTTCCTTATCGCGAGTCCTGCGAATACCAGTAATATATTAGCTCAGGCAGCAATAACTACTGTAATACGACAAAGTTTACCAGCACTCTTCGTCCTTGAGCAGTCCGTACAGCTCCAGTGCCGCCTGGTACATGGCCTTCTGTCGCTCCTTCGGTGCCTGCACGAGCGAATCAAGGTATCAAAACACTGCGCTTAACTTGCATTCTACATCACCAAACGTACTGCTTCGACGTCCACAGTGAAGAACCAACCAGGTAATTCCTGGCTGTTCATGCCAATCGAGCTCGCAACACCCGCCGTCTTGGGCTCGTCCGCCTTCTTGGGACTTGGAGAAAATGTCAGTGTCTCGAGCAGCGACGCAAGTCTATAATGAATCAACGGTTAGCAGCCTAGTACAGTAAACCCGCAGAAGTAGGCGACAACGCACTTGGAGTTGGGGGTGCTGGTCTTGTATAGACGCTGGAAGGTCGCAATAACGCAGCATTCGGCCTTGTGCTGTGGCCAGGCCTTGAGCAGGCACTCGCGGTCGCAAAATAGAGCTACATCACAGTTGGAGCAGCGCTGCAGCAACGGAAACACCACCGTCAGTGAGTGTGTTTGGAGTGGCAAATTGCTGCGGTGTCATACCTTGAGGCCGCTTACGTCCTCCAGTTTCTGACGGCAGTTCTGGCAGCCTGCACCGATACTCCAGACCTCTCCGCCATGTTGCTTGAAGTGCTCCAGCAGCCGCATCTCAGCTGCGGCACTCGCTTCCTCGCACACTTGATCGTATGCCGTGTTGTCGGTCATTGCGTCCATGCCAGTCAAAAGGGTAACTGGAAATGACAAAAATGCAGCATACAAAATTCAAGGGACAGGTATAATCATTAAGATACAAATGCAAGGCGTAGTGTTCGAACGATTCGTATTGTTTGCTATATTCCCTAGTGTATACACTTGCTACTCATAAACTATTTCTTGAGTTGCGTTAGTTGACTTGAACGCTTATAAAAGACTTGAACAGAACGACAAAGATCAGCAGCGGAGGAAGCTCTCAACGAGGTGAGGGATGGCCTGGCAGCCGTCACACATGGCTTCCCTTGAGTGCGGCTCCGTCTTGCTGCTTCGTGCCATGTCCACGAAAGCGCTACAGAAGTTCTTGAGTACCTTCTTGCGGTGCTCGATGCCTGAGACCAGCTTGACGTACAGTCGCGGCTGCGACAGAGAGTAGAGGATGAAGTGCATGTACTTGCTGCAATGCTTGCAGATGTGGCCGTCCTCATGTTTGCGCTGTGCGCAGACCCAAGCCTGGTAGCGCAACTCGGCGAACTCGGAGAAGCGGTGCAGAATCTGGTAGTCAGGCTGCGAGCTGCTGGCCGTGGGCGTGTTGTGCGTCGGGATGCGCGACGTGTGGTGCAACAGGAAGAGATCGATAACGTAGTAGACGACATCGTGGCGCACGACAGTGTGGTTGATCTCGATGCGGTCGATGGTCTCGAGGAAGGAGATTGGGGCTGCAGCTTTGGAGGACAGAGTGGGCTCGAGCGGCACGGGGATTAAGTGCTGGAGCGGCTGCAGCGTCGACATACGATGGTGGGTAGCGCTAGTATTGGGGAAGATGAAGGTGGCGGGACGTAAGGTCTGGGGAGCGAATGATGAAGTGATTCGCCGGGCCGATTATACAGTGAAGCCATCTCAAAGACAAGCGGAAACGAAGAAGAACTTCAACCGATACAAGAGCCGTGCGGTTTTCCGCGGGACGTGAACTTCAAGTGAGACGCAAGTGCCAACGACGCGTTAATCGATGCAATGACTAATGCGATGGCTAGGCCACCGACACATCTCATCGATAAATAGTTTGAATGTCCTGAAGAATATACGCTTTAGTCGCTTTTGCAAAGGGATCTGTATTCACTCCTGTAGACAGATATCCGTCGGACGCGTTGATGAAAGTGCGGTCAGGTCTCGCTCCGTTGTGCAGCTTCTGACAGGGTAAATACATTACCCTGTATATACACGTTGGCAATGAGACGGACGCAAAACGTCCTGCTACGCTTAGGTCTTCCTTGTCTTTGGGTCGAGGGAGACCTTCACCGCCGGCAAGTGAGTGCAATAGCGCTGCAGACTCGACGTCTGATTTCCACCTTGAGGTGTCGTAGTCGTCGGACTTGAAGGCGGCCGCTCGAGTGTTGAAGGTCTCTCCTGAGCCAAAGACGTGCGGTGCAGCTCATTCAGCAGCAACTTAAGCGCTTCAAGTTGATGAGCTTTCAGCAACTTTGGAACTTCAAATCGAGACCACCTTGAGTTGGGTTGGCATTGGTCTGGACTGAAGAGATATAGCCTTTTGTCCCTTTCATTTTATCAAAACACTTGCTGCTGGATCTAAATCCTGTTAATTGCCATGCATTCGGCCTCAATTTCCATGCTTAAGTGCACAACAAGGCAATGATTTGTCCAAAACTTCGCACCAAGCGTTCCTAGTAGCTTGATCACATATCAACAGCGTTGCTAGAGCTCGCCTGTCGCTCTTACTGACACCGCCCTCCAGGTTAGCCTTTCCATGACGAGTTGTTGTGATCGAAGCTGGTGAACTGTACTACATATACCTCTTGCGACGGGGACGTACTACCGAGATAAGTTGTGGAATTGGTATACTACTTTCATCGCGAAATGGAAAATCAAATCAAACCATTTATAAAATGCTATATAATATGCATTGTCACAGGTAGTAATTCTCTGCGTCGTTTCGCTGGTCATACGGCACCACATGCTGACCATGCAGGACTTGCAGCATGAGGGCCACAGAGTGTCTAGCTCACTCGCCAATTAAGTGCGCACAACACACGTCTTCCCAGAAACAACCCACAAGCAACAGCTCGCTTCCAAGCCATGTCGTACTCGCCTTCGTTGCAGCAGCCGCTGGACCAACCTGCAACGCCTGCATCCCAAGCTAACATCGCTGCGCCTCACACGGGTGTCGTAGGAAGACTCTCCTTCCTGGACCGCTTCCTCACACTCTGGATCTTGCTGGCAACCAGCATTGGTCTCGGTCTGGGCCAAATCGACGCCATCCAGAACTTCATCGACGACACCACCGTGGACGGCACCAATGTCGTAGTGGCCATTGGACTCCTCGTCATGATGTACCCGCCGCTCACCAAGGTGCGCTGGAACCTCGTGCACCGCATCTTCGCCGACTGGCGCTTGCTGCTGCTCACGACAGTGCAGAACTGGGTACTCGGACCCTTTGTCATGTTCTTCCTCTCCTCCGCCTTCTTCCACGATGACGTTGGCTACATGACTGGCCTCAGCCTCGTTGGTTGCGCTCGCTGCATCGCCATGGTCGTGGTCTGGAACAGTCTCGCAGGCGGAGACGCCGAGTATTGCGCTGCTATTGTGGCCATGAATTCCGTTCTCACTATTGGACTCTACTCTCCTTACGCCGGCCTCTTCATTAACGATCTCCCGATTCATCTGGGCATCGACTCGAGTACTGAGATCCATGTTGCTATTGGTGAAGTAGCCAAGAATGTCGCTATCTACATGGGTGCTCCGTTCGTGGCCGCTCTGCTCACATGGTATACACTAACCAAAACCAAAGGTGCCACCTGGTACTTCGATAAGTTTACACCGCGTATCGGCGTGTTGACGCTCTTGGCTCTGCTCTTCACTATCATCGTGCTCTTCGCTTCCCAGAGCACACGTATCTCGTCTAACCTGGACAAGGTCATCTACGCTGCCGTGCCATTGCTCATCTATTTCATCTTCATGTTCGTGATGTCCTTCCTGATGAGTTGGTGGCTCGGAGCGACATACGAACAGACAGTCTCTCTATCCTTCACGGCTGCCAGCAACAACTTTGAGTTGGCGCTCGCAGTGGCCATCGCGTCGTTCGGACTCAAGTCGGACCCAGCACTCATGAGTGTCGTGGGTGCTCTTATCGAAATCCCCACGATGCTCGCGCTCGTTTACTTGGCCTTCTGGTTCCGCAAGACGTTGTTTATAGCCAGAAAGATGGACGATGAGGCGGCTCTGGTGGATGCGATGGAAGAGGCCGACAGCGCCACTGAAGTCTACGCGAAGAAGACAGATTTCTAGTATCACGTCGCTATTAAAATGAAGCTGTGGATCTTGTTTCTAGGTCACGTACCCCGCTCTCGAGTCAGTATTCATACATGTATGGAGCTCCGTTCTGTAGTACACTCAAACGCTTTTCTCGATGAACAACATGCCGCATAGGAATCCTGAGGGCGAAACTCCAGCTACCAGTTCGGTGACGACTTCATCCTGCCACAAATTCGTGGATGGAGAAGGTTCTGGTTCGTCGACTTCGTAGCGGATCCTCGCTACACGAGGGAATGCTTTGGTCATGGCCTGTTTGATCTTTGAAAAGTGCTGGCATTGTTTCCTGATGTCGGAGGTTAACGCAGTAACCAGTTGCGAGGCGTCTCGATACCCCAGCGTATTGATCTTGAGATGGTCCAGCGTTGTCCAGTAGGAGCAAATGTGGCGAATGATGATGTCCCCATGGCGACGAGCGACGTTGGATGTGAAGTAGCCACTGTATGGGATCATGTCCTCCCGCATCTCGTACGTGCGTCGGTCGATCTCCATCTGATGCATTCCCTTCTCTTTCCATCCCGGGAGTTCAGCCTTGACTGCTTCTCTCCATTCGCTCACCATCTCGGCCACTTTGGTCTGGTACTTCTCCACCTCATCTGCGTACAGTTGACACACCGCACAGGTCACTTTGCCCGTGCCTGGGTCCACATGCATATTCTCCCAGTGGAGTCCAAAAAGAGATGTCAACTTGCCATTCTGTGTGCCCAAAGCCCCACTGATTCGACGTGCGATGTCCTGCTCAGCGGCATCGTGTCCGTCTTTCTTCGTGCTCTTGTCGCTACTCTCGGGTGGATGCAGTCGAACAATCACAGGTCTAGCAGTATACACTGTGGCTGCGTATTTGAAGGAAATGTAGCTCTGTGGTAGCAGTTTGGTCACCATAAAGTCGATGATGGAGAGCAAAGGCACATGCTGCCACTGTGGGGTATCTCGCACAGTGTCCTTCCAGTATGTGAGCTCCTTACCCGCGGCCGTGCGCACGTGGCAGTCCTCCCAGACGTCAGCGGGTTCCGTGTCCTCCTCCTCGTCCCAGTCGCTCTCCACCAGGCGCTCGTCTGCCTTCCACGCTGGCGTTAGATGCCACCAGTCGGCGGCACATTTTTGGTGGAAATGCTGGGCGTACCGCGTCTTCTCCAGCGCCGTGGCCGTCAGCACACGGTCGTACCGCAACCAGCGGCTCGTATTCAGCAAGTTGATAGCCTCGCGTAGATCAAGAAACTCCACCAGCAGCGTACATGGCAGCCGAAAGAACTCGCCGCCGGTGTCTGAACGGCCACGCCGCATTATTGCGCCGATAGAAAGTGGAAGTGCTGCATGCCTGCACATAGTGATCCTTCTAAAACAGATACTAGAAGCTTCAAACGTGATACCTACTCAAAACGATCCTAACAAAGAGAATGAAACTGTATTGTAGAATTGAACTGTCCATAAAATGGAACAGTGTACCAGCGGTAAAGCGCAATTAATGGCCAGTCCATGTACCCATGTTGAAGGCAACTTTTGTACCATCACTCTTCGCGACCTAAGGCGTTGGTGATGACGGGGTCTTTCGGGCAGGTCTTGTCGGCGGCGAGACCGACGAACACAGGGAAGCGCGGGATGCCATCGTTCGTGAGCTCCTGACACTTGTACACGATGATACTGCCAATAGCGGGAGGCTTGTCGCGCTGCTGGTCCGACAGTCCGCTGGCCACTTTAAACATCTTACCGCTGGCCATGCGGCAGCGCAGTGCGCCCACCATACCCACATACTTTCCCTTACCATCTTCGTAGGCGAGTACCTCCGCCTCGCCGTCGTGGAAGCTCTTGATCTTCAGTAGCGACGACGATCGACCCTGCGCGTATTTGCTGCCCGGCTCACGGATCATGAGCCCTTCTCCTCCAAGTTTCTCGATCTCGTGGAATACTTCGTCCAGGTGTTCCAGGGACTTGCACTTTGTATGCTCCACCCACTCGATGTACGTCGATGAGGCATTGATCACCACATTCTTGGCACGCTCCATACGTTCCTCGAATTTCTGTGTCTTGAGACTTGGAGCATCAAACACTTTGTACACCAGTTTCTCCCATTGCTTGGACCCCTGAGTTTTGGCAATACCGACAGTGAACTGGAAAGCGCCTCGACCTCCAAAGAGTTCTCCGTCCAGATCCACATCTTCTGGGAACCCGGTTGTGAACCAACTGGGCGCTGGATATTCGTTGCCCAAGCGAGAAAGAAAAATCTTCTTGGACGAGTTCCAGAACGCACGTACTCCGTCCAGCTTCTCGCTGATCCACCAACCCACTGGGTCGTCCTTCTCACGCTCCCATTTCTTGGCTAGAAGAACTTTTGGTGCCGTGGTCTTCACCACAGATCGAGAGATACTGCCACCAATTGACGTAATACCACGAGGAGCTGTAGCTGAGCCACGAGCTCGTATAATCTCGAACTCTTCTCCCAAAAGCTGCTTCAGGTGCTTGCACGTCCTGGAGTTCGGTGGGTGGCGCTGGTTCCTCCATGCTGGACAGCTGCACGAGTAGACCATTCCAAGGCGCTTCACAATGTACGTCGAGCCTGATGCGCTCTTGACATCATGGAACGTTCCGTCTACCAGAAGCAATTTGGGCTTGATCCCATTCACCGCTCCAGTCTCCTCATCATACACAATCTCACCGTCGCCGTCTCCAATAACGGCGACACTCGCGTCCGCAACAGATCGTTTCTTAGCAGGAGAACTCGGCGTTTCAGTTGTGATTGGCATTGCTGCGAGTTTATCTTCCCATTGGTCCTCTGTCAGCACCAGCACGCCCAGCTTCTCCGCCTCCTTGAGCTTCTGCCCTGCCTTGCCCCCACACACCAGATACGTCGTGGCCTTGCTCATTCTTGGCTGTACTCGAAAACCTCTGGCTTCCGCCTCAACAGTCGCTTCCTTTCTGCTCTGCTTCGCCAACGTCCCAGTGAATACAACCACCGCAGGCTCCGAGGACTCTGCAGCGCTGTCCGTGCGGGTCTTTCTCTTTTTCGAGTTCGCTTTCGACGGAGTATTCGCCACCTCTGGTATCTGCACTTGACTCGTCTTCTTCTCGTCAGTTGCAGGGTCTGCCGCTGCTAGTTTGTCCCTCCATTCCTGCTCCGTCAAGGTTGCTACACCCAGCTTCTTGGCCTCCTCCATCTTCTTGGCGCCGACTTTGGCCCCGCAGACCAGGAAACTCGACGTCTTTGTAAGACGCGACCCCACCACGTAGCCATGCTTTTCTGCTTCGGTCGTCGCCTCCTTGCGCGGCTGCGATAGCGTCCCGGTGAACACTACGACGCTCATCGCGGCAAATTTAGAAGTGACGTTGAAGTGATAGGACGAACCGTTATGACAGTATAAGAGCAGACCAGCACTCACAAATCCGCTCTCGAGTGTAGTCTCTTCAAGTGTGGGGACACTCAGATCTGCTTTTTCCATACAACGGTTCATAAAAACCGGATCTGATTATCCCCACATTTGAAGAGCGAATCAGATCAAATACGCTCTTCAAATGTCGGAGTCAGATACACTTGAAGAACAGATTCGATCGCTTGCACGTCACGATGGAGAGCTCTCCGCCCGCCGAGGCCGCGGACAGCGCCACGTCCAAATGGATGAAGATGATCTCGTCCACGTTCCTTGGGGAGGGCACCAGCTCATCGCTGTTCGGTCGGCGCTCGTCCGGTACATCAGGAGGTGGCAGCTCGGGCGTCTCACAGGAATCGCTCGGTCGCTGGGCCAAATTGCGCGCCGAGAACGGATTGGATCCGACGCCAGAGCTCAAGCTTGCGCTTGTTGGAGGCCCCGCAGTGGTAAATATAACTTGCCGTCCAATAAATCGTCGATTGTTGGCTTTAACACCATGGATTAACTTTGATTTCGATGCTCTGCAGGGCAAAACCAGCATCGTGCGACGCTGGTTGCAGCGGTCGTACCCGACGACGTACTCACCCACCGTCGGTGTGGAGGTGAATACAATGACATACAAGCACCGTGGTCAGGAACTACTGCTACATCTATGGGACGTTTCCAGCGCCGAGGTGGACTCCAGCGCGTCGTCGCTGCACTCGCTGCTATGCGAGGACCTGGACGGCATCTTCTTCGTGTTCAACGTACACCGCGTGAGCTCCATCGCAGCCATTGACAAGTGGCGTCACTGTCTGTCGAAGTATCTTTCCCCCAAAGAAACCCCGTGCTTTCTTATCTCGCACAAAGCAGACCTACTGCAGAAGCGTGTCATGACCAGCGACGACATCGCTGCGTATGCAAGAGTGAGGGCAGCACACATTGAATCATTGTATACTGTGAAGACCTAACTGGATGGCTAACCGATTGTAGGCAGCAGGCTATAAAGGCTGGATGTGGACGGTAGGGAAGGCGAATTTTGGCGAGAACGAGAAAAACCCTGCCGTGCGGGAGGCGCTGGAGCGGATGGTGGAGTTCATCTGCAGAGACCGCATTGCGACCGATCATATCCGTCTCGCACGCTTAGCAAAGCCACAGGTAAGACAGTGGACAGAAATCGATACGAAGTGACGAAAAAGTTGACGGAGTTTTGCTCCATTCTGTGCTGTAGGGTATTCTGGAGACGTCAGGAAACCCTGCGCCACTAGAAATCATTCAGACTGACGATGCGTTGCATCATTTCTCGACGTCTCTGCTGCGTATCCCCACCAAAGCTATCACGACTCTTCCACGTGATGAGAACATGATGCCGATCAACGAGAAGATCAATCAGGACGACGAGGAGGAGAAGAAAGATGGCGATCATGTTTCTGCTGCTCTCCGGACCGACAAGCGAGCCACTTATGGTGGTAGCTGGATCTTGGGCAATGACAAAGGAGTGTATCTACGCGCGACCAACAGCAGTCTCCTCGGTAACGATGAGACAGACGACGACTCGGAGTCCGTGGAGGAATTTCAATTCCCCTTCTCTAGTGCGAGACAGATCAACGAAGAGGAGGACGCTACAGCTGCTGCTGAGTCTCGAAGGCGTGAAAAGGAAGAAGAAGATCTTGAACGACGCAGAGAGCAAGAGAAGGCAGAGCGAGATCGACGAAATGATCAAGAGGCGTGGCATTTCTTCGCTGGCAGCATCAGTCGAGCCCAAGCCGAAGCTCTTCTCGAGTACGTATACACTGTTGCAGTCCTTGCTTGATTGGCTAACATAGACCTTGTGACTTCTTCAGAAATCGAGAACAAGGCACGTTTTTACTTCGTCGGAAAGATGCTCAGACACTCATCCTGTCGTATGTGGGTCCTGATCACGTGCATCACGTGCTGATTGAGTTCTCGAACCAGAGATATCACATTGGCTCGTCCAAGGTAAAGCTTATGCCTATGTGCTGATGACTAGGAGGTTATGCTAATTAGACTATTGTAGGCTTCGCATGCAACTTCGTTTACTACTCTTTGGAAATGTCTGCGCAGTGTACGACGCTATGCTTACCGTGGCCTGGTGTTTAGTCGCAATATGGACTTCAACGTCGTCAACAAGCAGGAGCTGGTGGTTGAGGACGGTAGTATAGCGTCAGGAAGCGTCACGGACACTACGACACCGACAGCGGCGCCGACGACGCCAAGCATTTGGCGCACACGAACTCGAAGTGGATCGAGCAGTTCATTGGGTGATCGCAGCAACAGCAGTCGGCACGCGTCGCCTACCACTGCACCTCGACGAGCTCGCCACACTCCAGGACTGCAAGCCAACCAGGAACAAGTGAAAATTCCGCCACAGACCCGCATTGACGAGCTGAGCGTTGAATTCTACGACCATTTGGCTGAAAGATTGTCATATTTGGCAGCACAGCAGAAAACGGAGACGCCTGAAGGAGGTAACACCATCAGCTATCCCTCGTATTATTTCGTTGATACTGATGGCTACTTTTTGTCTTAAACTAGGTGGCATTACTCCTCTCCTCGAAATGGTAACTATGAGAGCATAAACTTCGATGAAGACTATGTTATTAACTAGTAGTCTTGATTTTGATATTCTAGGTGACCGAGGAAAAGAATGAACAGCGTCAGGTGCGGGGAGTTAACGCCGAGACCCAGTGGCGCCAGCTCGTTAAGAACATGGAGGCCTGGAATCGCATCGTTATGAACCTGGTACGTGTAACCACGACTGTTGTTTGAGTTGTTGGAGGTGCTGACACCTTCTTGGCTCCAACAGGAGCTCAGCACATTGAAAATGGCTTAATCTTCTGTTGCATTAATGAGTGCCAAAGACATGAGTGTAGCCATTTTTGCGATCGTGAAGTTCTATTTTTAGCTGTCCAATCACGTCTATGCACTTTTTACTTGGATTCACTATGCCACTCTCACTTCAGTTTTTGTAATCTTAGCTCAGCAGCTACTTCGACGTCCAGCATGAGCGTCGAGACGGAGGAAGCGCCGCTGCTGGTCGGTGGAGGCTCCTGTGTCTCTCCTCGACGCTCGAGCACTGCCACATCTCCACTATCAGATGAAACAGCGCTGGAGCTGGAGCTGGGGCGACTGCAGACTCAGCTGGATGCACAGGAGGGAGGCAACAGACGAGCTCCTAAGAAACGCAGCAAGGCCAATAAAGAGCAGAGATCCGAGAGCGGGGCGTCTTCTGTAGTGAGGAGCGTCAAGACAGCAGAGAAAATATCAGTGGCGGCTGTGGTAGTGCATTTACTCAAGGGAAACATTGGTCCAGGGGCCATGTCACTACCCAACGGCTTCTCCAAGACAGGCATCTATGCAGGTCCCGTGTTGTTCGTCGTCATGGTGCGTTGGCTACAATTATTGGCAATAATGGAGAAGATACATTAACTGTGTGTGTGATTTATAGGCTCTTGTGTCTGTGTACAATATGGACTTGTTGCTACGGTGTAAGCAGTTGGTGAGCCCGAAAGCTCCGATGTCGTTTGGAGACGTAGGGCTGCACATCCTGGGCCCAAAGGGGAAGCTGCTTATCGACGTTTTCCTCGTGGGTACACAGCTGGGAATCTGCTGTGTTTACTTCACTTTTGTAGCAACCAACATCCACGTCGTTCTCCCAGAGAGGTGAGACCTTGTGGATGGGTTTGTCAGCCTGAATCGCTCACCTGTTACGTTATTGCAGCCTCCAGGAAGCCATCAATGAACGGCAACTAATATTCGCTATATTCCCCATACTACTGATGCTTTCCTGGGTTCGCACACTGCGTCGTATCACCCCGTTCTCAGGTCTCGGTGCGTTACGTGTTTTTAATGTTTTTTTTTTCCTTTGGGTTATCACATCCTTCGAAGTACTAATTAAATTGGTACACAGCCAACTTTGCGGTGCTGTCAGGTATCGCCATTGTATTTTACTACTCCATTGACTACTGGGAACACCCTCGAAAGCCTCGAGAACCGACTGTGCTAGTGGATTGGAGTCAGATTCCCGAATTCTACGGCACAGCCGTGTACTCCTTCGAGGGAATCGGTTTAGTGCTGCCTATCCAGAACGCAATGGCTGAGCCTGAGAGATTCCCTCGTGTGCTTGCCATCTGTATGCTGTGGATCCTTGTGCTCTTCCTCTTTATTGGAGAAGTGCCGACGATTGCCTTCGGTCAAATCGATAACGGCAGTATGACAGCAGTACTACACGATTACTGCGAGGGATGGCTAGTTACTATGGTACGCAGTATTGATCAGAGCCTTTGGAGATGACTACACTTTGAAACTCACAGTTGCCATTACCTTGTAGGCGAATGTGGCGCTAGCTTTTGCGTGCACGCTCTCGTTCCCCATTCAGTTCTACCCTGCAATCGACGTTTTGGAGAGAATGCTGCGGCATAAGTCCGTGATGCGTCCTGCGCCTCCGTCTGAGCCTGTTCAAGTGACACTAGAGGCAAGAAGACGTCGCAAGGCTCGGAAGAAACACCAGTATCGCTCGCTGCATGGACTTGACAACGACGTCGAAGGCCATCACGACGACCACGAGGTGATGCTGTCTACCAGCAGCCACAACAGTCGTCCACCGGCTCTCTTTTCGCTGCAAACGATGCGTCACTCATTCTCTCCGATGGCTTCTCCGGCCGCAGTAGCAGCAGCTGCCAGTTTGTCTTCAACGCGGTCAACAGCGAGTGGTCTGGAGCGATTGGTGTGCAATTTATCGCCGTACGAATGCAATCGCACGCTGTTCCGCTCCATGTTGTGCACGAGTCTCATGATGGTCGCAGTGTGCGTACCAGACGTGGGGCTTCTTATCAGTCTCTTTGGCTCCGTGGGCTCGAGCATGCTGGCGATTGTCTTGCCTCCCATTCTCTACCTGGTAGCCACGGGGTCGACGCTGTCACTGCCTTCACGCATCTTCCACTGGGGAATCGTCGTCTTCGGTATCGTTGGAATGGTTGCTGGCACAGTGCAGGCCATGCGCCAGGTCATCGACTCCTTCAACTGACCTGCCCCACGCCAGTGAAAACCCTAATGCAAAACCCTAGTTCTAAAACCCTAAAAATAAAGAAGTATATACTTGTACAGTGATCCTGCAAAGGTATATAAGTAAACAAAAAGGTGTAAAATGCACATGAACCTACCACTGGGATTGATATTCTTCGCCTTTTTTCTCTAGTCGTTCGGATCAATCCTCCTTCACCCTTTTTCTTGTGCTTGCAGGACAGCACACCTGACACTCGCTTCATTCACACTTGATGTTGCGATAGATGCGCTTTGTGAAGACGCTGCTGCCGAGGTATCCCACAGTGCCACACATAATGAAGAACGCGAAGCAGAACAGCCCCCTACATATTCACAACCAGTTAGTATCATCGCACCAAGTATCCCAAGTCTTTTAAGTCACGTACATGTAGCCAAAGTAGAAACATGTCTGCAGGAAGCCCGACATGTTGGTCTTGAAGAAATAGAAATAGATGGCGTAGACGAAGACGTACAAAGCGGTGCTGCCTGCAGCCGCGAACGAAGTCCAATGCCATCGGTAGTTCTCGGCGTTCAGTAGGAAATACGTGCACACGATCGTCACGCAGAGCGTCACAATCGTCAGGATGATGAACACCAGCAGCATGAAGCCGTACACGTAGTAGAACTTGTAGTTCCAGAACGACGCGAAGATAAAGTACATCTCGATGAAGATCGATCCGAACGGGAGCACTCCGGTAAGTGCGATCAGCACTGGCGGGCGCAGATACCAACGCGCCTCGGGGACTTCACGCGGGAATTTGTTCACACGGCACGGGAATCCGGCCTTTGCAGCGCCGTGACGACCCAAGATCGTGCCCAGCACTGCCAGTGGACACGACACGAAGAACCACACAAGTACCACCTGTACGATCGTCACGAACGGGATAGCATACGTCGTACCGTAGAATACAGCCAGAGCGTTAATGAAGAACACAGACACGAACGTGACTGTGGGGAGCAGCGCTGACGATAGACACATGGCTCGGATCCAATCCTTCGACACTCGCGGGTAGAAGAACTGGTGGTAGAAGGCGCCGCTCGCGTATCCATTAGCCAGCGACGAAAACGCGTAGACTGTGAGTCCCACCGAGACGATACCACCCGGTTCAATGTATAGCGACGAGCCAATAGCAATGAGCATCAGGCACACTGACAGCACCAGAAGCTGAGCACCAGTTCCCACCAACGCCGTGAACAGCAGCAAGTACGGAGGTGCACGGAAAACATCTCCGTGCAATAATTTCCAGCCAGAATTGGCGTCATCTTTGAGTAGCGACGACTTGCCGTCCATCATGAGCTCCTCGGCGTCGTCTTCAGCGAATCTTGCATAGTCATTCTTGAGTGTACGCAGTAGAATGAGCGCCACTAGACCGCAGAGGAAGATAACCATCATAAACGAGTTAAAGATCGAGAACCAGTGGATCTGGTGTTCGAAGAACTCGTCTTCCAAGTAGCGATCGAAGCGATCCTCGAATGGGATGGACGTCTCGGACCACACAACTTCGTACGTGAACTCGACCTTCTTATTGGACGCAATAGACGTTAGTACGTCCGAGTACGTCAAGTTGACGTGAATAATATGCGGCCCATTGTGAGAAATTGAGTACTTTTTGTGCGTATACAGCACACGTGTCCCCACTGGAAACTGCTTGAGGTACTCGACGTCGTCTGTGGGTTTCATGACTTTACCTACGAGTCCCCACACAGGCAGATCGTCCACACTCATTTGGTACCAGTAATGCTCGTCCACCGCAGCGCCGAACTGCAGCGCGTCAGCATCCGTCAGTGTTTGTTCACAGAGTTTCGTCTTGGGAGAATCCACACCGAATTTAATCTGCTGACCAGAATTTAACAGCTCGTTGCCTTCCAAGATCTCGCCAATACCCAGTGCATGAGCTTCAGGGTCTTCAGATCCTGGAGCGTGACAGAATGGCAGCGTGTTGTACGTGTACGTCTCCTGTGGGTTGTTGAATGGGCCAATCTTGTTCACCCAGACCACCACTTCCTCGCCTGGAGTGTACTGTATAGAGATATGACAGAGATACGACGTTAACATGTCATAATGACGCCGGAGCTTAGGACGGTAGACAAACCTCGTGCGTCTCGACGTCGGCGGAGGCGAGTGGGATCAGCGACGCGACTGCCAGTGCCACGACGCGCGTCCACTTGCTCATAGCTGAAGATGCGATGGAGACGGCAGGGACTGGGCTGATACGAGAAGCAAGGGAGTCACAGAGACACAACTCGGGTTTTTCTCCACGCGTAACGCAATGGAATGACCAGTGAGGATGTCACTAAAGTGATGAAGGACGTTGTTTGATGTGGCGTACACAATTTTAAAGGCGGAAAACTTCAACTTACAGATTTGGACCTTTTTTTTGTTAGTAATTTTTACTTTTTAAATGGGGTTAACCTTTGTAGAACACCTTCTTTTAAGAAAAAAAAAAAACAAACCTCGAAGATAGTGCTGCATTAAAAATGGTTGCACTAAAGTGCGCAAAGCCAAACAACAAAGCGATGCCTGCTGCTTCTTCAGCAACTAAAGCAATGCGATCCTCTTTATCCTAAGGTAGATGGTAGGGGAAATGTTTATACTGAAGTCGTACATTTACAGCAATCTATCTGTCTTCAATAGGGAAGCATGGGAACTTGCGCAGATTGGGCATAGCATCCATAGGTGTGAACGCATCGAGGAACTCGCTGTTCGGTGACAACCAGTCATCAAGGAGCATGCCTTCCGTGAACGCTCCCTCCGTGTCTGCTGGATTGTATTGGTACTCACTTTCTGGGTTCAGTGACCACATAAATCCACCCGCGTACTCTTTTTCCATGAGCACTTGGATTGTCAAGTCCGTTGTGCGCTTCGTCGTCTTCTTCGGATGAGCGTCTTTAGTGTACAAACCTGCAAATTCTCCCAGCAACAGAGCATAATTCTTGTCGTCCGCTAAATATCCGAACATGTCATTCATCGTCCCCTCCACACGTGCAAGCAGATCTTCATCTGACAGCTCCACATACGTCGAGAAGTCAGAAGTCGTGCCGTCTCCATAGAAATATCTCTGTGGTGCCACAGCAGTCGTGTAATAGTGCGGAGCCCAGACCACTTTATTCTCAATAGTGAACTTGGGTTGAGTGTTTCCTGCCTTCTGAAGACCACCACCCCACCAGTCGTAGTACTCGAGTTCCTCGCCACCAATCGTGACTGTATGTGTGGACACTACACCCTCAACGAAGCCCAGCCATTGTGGACAATTCTCGTGCATCACCTTGGCAATTTTCTCACAACCCACAACGAAATCGTCATCGTCTCCAGTCCCCCACGTCGCTTTCTCCGGCTCGTTCTTCAGGTCAAGCCCCATGACGTTCCAATAGTCTTGACCACAGAGATTGGAGGACACAGTGTCAACCGCGTCAAGGAAGTCGTCCTGTGTCACACCAATATCTTCATCGAACCATGTAGCTCCCGACTTTTTGTTGGTGAGTCTGTGCATACTGATAAGCACGCCGATATTGCGGTAAGCCAGAGACTTCACTAGTGTCTGTAGTGTCGAGATGAAGTCGGTTCCGTTGATCGCGCGGTTGCTTGAGAGGTTGATCACACCTTTCTGGGGCGGACTGTTGTTGAGAATGTTCTCGACAGAAACCGGTAGTCTCACTGCGTTGAAGTTGTTTCGTGCCAGGAATGCCGCGATCTCGTACTGATTTTCCGATACCAATGAGATTAGAATTGTCAATATACAAAGCAACGCAGCACTCTTACCGCTGTGGTGCCGTTGTCTGCGTTCTCCCAGAGCCCGAACGGAACTGCGAGGGTTGTCTCCATTCCGAACCAGTTGACACCCTTGATCTGAATTGGTACTTCAGTCCCGTTTGCAGCGACCGCCACAATTTGCCCATTCTTGCTTTGGTAGTCGGGCATCTCACATGCTGCAGTGCAATTCGTTAGAATATCGCCGATTAAGGACTAATTCTCCGTAGCAATACGACAGGTAACTTACTGACGCTGGTATCGTATGACTTGGGGTTGCCGACTTGGCCGTCATCCGAGATAATGATGTTGTCGTCGGTTTTGCCGTCCTTGATCGAGCGCTTGCCTGCCACATGCTGCTCATATTCCATTGCACGCGCAGTACGTGCGTTGTACGTGTCCACCGCTCCTTTGGTAATGAGAAGCATGGCGACCACGACTATCGTGAAAAGCAGTAGCAATCCCGGCCATATCTATCGTCATCAATGCCACACAAGACTCGTCAGCTTCAGCATCGTCTACTGCAGTCCCCACATCACCGACGCACCCTGTACTGCCCCTTATAGTCCGATTCTTCCTCCGACTCGCCCGATTTCCTGGCTATGAGGCGCATGTTCTGAGACGGATCAGTCGAGTAATTCTGCGTGAATCGGTCCTTGTCCGAGTAAAAGGCCGTCGCTGGCATCGTGTGTCGTGCAACAGGAACGAATTCATTCCGAACGATCTCGGTTCCAATTTGCCACGGCGTCATCGGAGTCGACAACCGCTCGCCAGGTCGCTCCACCACGAGACTTACACGATGATCCCTCATCGTCGCGAAATATACTACCGGGTTTCACCAAAGCCACGAGGAATTCGTGATGTTCCGGCAGTGCTTGACAAACTGACACTGGCGAGGTCCTTTACGCTGTCCGACACTGCCATCGTCCGTGACTTCTTATCGCCGCCTGTCACTGGCATGTGCCATGCAGCCACCAGCTGATGCACTGTGGTTCACAACAAGTTGCATAGTGGATCAATGTGTTGATTTTTTCAGTGGCGTAAAATAAACCAAGATATTTAGGGTTATTTGAATGTGGTTGCAGTTAAGCCCTGGAATTTCTGGGTTTGCACGATGTAGAGATCAATTGACTGTAGAGGATGAATGCAAGAAAATGCGATGGGACAGGAATACATTTGGCGAGTGAAGGCGACGGCGCTAATGTGCTGATGTCTTCAGCAACACTTGTCCACGTGTTCGAGCAGCCTGGCGCACTAGAATTTCGGTTCGCATCATGGTAATCAAGTCACTGAATTGTTTGATTCTACCTACCTCGCTCGATCTACATTCTCTTAATTAAAGCTCCTGATCTAGTCCATACCTTTGAGAAACTCCATGTTGGACGTTAGCCAGTCGTCATGTAGCATTCACTCGGTGAAATCCCCTCTTTTCTCGGCAATGTCGACTCGGTATGGTTGCACTTGTACACGCAGGATTGAGTGACCGCGTAACCCTTTCGATTACCTTCGCGTAGAACCCGCCACATAACGTATTTCGTTTTCTTCAACGGGTAGCCGAACACGATATCGATCGACGTTCGCGTTTGATTCGTCGACCTTTATATTGGAGCCGAACTCCTGTCGGCGTAGTGATACCTTTGCGGACTGACGCTGGAATTGTACAGTAGTGAGGAGCCCATACCAACTAGTTCTCCGCACCAGGTCCGCTTTCTCGCGACCATCTCCACCGATCATATAAATTGTCAGTCCTTCCAACCGTGAAGCCCCCTTTCCTCCTCCTCAGAATGCGGTGTCGATAGCTTTGCACCCTTTTGCCAAGGAGTGACTCGTTCTTGGGGTCAAATCTTGGATGCGGCCAATGCACAAGGGATTCGGTAGACTGTCATTGGCACCGGGTGTTCGTTCACCCAACGACGTATAATAGAGAGAACTTTTTCGGAACACAGAATGATGAATTAATGTACTGGACGAGTTATGGTCTCATTTGCTGTCTAGCATTCGTCTACCGTCCAGCCACCTACCAAGTCCACTCCAAGACCCGCGTCCGTGCACCAACACGAGGCAGCACACAGACCAGCTCTACGCTTTCTCGGGAAATGAAACGATAGCAACTCTTCAACTTGGTGGTCCAGTAATTCCGGTAGTTTATAACGCCGCATTTACTCTTCTTCCTCTTCCTCCTCCGACTCAGAGCCCTCAACTTCCTGAGGGAAACACGGGAACATCTGAAGGTTTTCCATCTCGTCCAAAGCCGCCATGCCTTCCACGAAGACCTTGTTTGGGGTGAGCCAGTCATCGTCGAGTAAACCTTCCGTGTAGTGGCCGTACGTGTCAGCTGGGTTAAATTGGTACGCACTTTCGGGGTTCAAAGACCACATATAGGCACCGGCGTATTTCCCCTTGAGCATGGCCTCAATAGTGAAGTCCGTTGCGCGTTTAGTAGTGAGTTTCGGGTGGGCGTCCTTACCGTACAAGCCAGCAAACTCGCCCATAACCATGGCAATGTTCGGGTCTGCCTCAATTAAGTACCCAAACATCACATCCATAGTCTTCTCGATGTTATTTTTTAGTTCGTCGTCATCGAGTTCCTCGTAGCCTTCCAGTGCACCCTCAGCACCCTGCGTACCGGAGGCATAGAAGTACCACGCTGGACTCACACCAGTATTGTAGTAGTGCGGCGACCACACGAGTTTATTCTTGATGTCGAAAGTGATGGGGTAGTCTCCCGCCTTCTCCATTCCTCCACCCCACCAATCGAAGTAAACTCGATCAACCTCACCGTTAAGAGAGATCGTTCCGGATCCAGCAATACCTTCAACGAATGCCAGCCAGTTAGGACAACCTTCCAGCATCCTGTTACCGATCAGAGTGGCTCCCTTCTGCCAGTCTGGATCCTCGCCACCCCATGAACACTCGTGGGGCTCGTTCTTAAGATCTAGACCCAGAATGTTCCAGTATCTGGACTTGCACAGATTCTTGGTCAAGATGTCCACAGCGTCGAGGAATTCGTCCTCTGATACGCCCAGATCTTCACTGAACCAGGCACCGCCGGACTTCTTCGGGTCCAAAGTGTGGAGACTGATCATGACTGTGATGTGACGATAGCCCAGCGCTTCGACGATCGACTGGATGGTCGAAATGTACGACGTGATGTTTACAGCTCGGTTGGTGTTTAAATTGATCAGAGACTTTTCCGGGGCCACGTCGTTCAGGATGTTCTTAATGCATAAGGGCAGACGCACACTATTGAACTTGTTGCGAGCCAGGAAGGCCGCCACTTCGTACACGGACGTACCGTTGTCCATGTTTTCCCAGAGACCGAAGGGGATGGCAAGACCTGTCTCCATACCGAACCAGTTGACTCCTTTGATACCTACTGGTACCTCTGTGCCGTTCTTGGAGACGGCAACGATCTGGCCGTTCTTGCTTTGATAGTCTGGCAGTTCACAGCCCATGTCTGGGTATTTCTTTGGGTTACCGACCTGTCCGTCGTCCGAGATGAGGACTTGGTCGTCGTCAAGTCCGTCCTTGATCTTGCGTTTGTTAGCTTGTTGTTGCTCGTAGTTTTCTCGGTTCGCATGGATCAGATCGCTCGTTTCTTTGGCCTGCAGGACGATGATCGTCACAGCGCCACCGATGATAAGTAGAAGCAACAAAAGCCCAGGCCACGTCCGGATGCGACCTTTGTAGTCCTTCGTGGTCTCGGGCGGCAGGTCGTCGAAGTCTGCGGCCTTGAGCATCGTCTGGCGGTGAGCGCCCACGGCTCCACCTCCTTCAGTTAGACGCGGACCCTGCGACGAGTCGAGGTGGGCACTGAAGTTCCCATTCGAGAATTCGCTGGACCGACTGAAGCTCGTATTGGCCGGGTGATCGTCCGCCGTGTTCGCCATTGGACGAGACACCTCCATTGAATCTTCAAGAGGAATAGTCTGCTGTTCGAAGCTCGGCGCAGAATCAAGAATGAGGAAGTAGGTGCCACGGGAGGACTCTTCGGGCAAAAGGATATCACGCGTGATATGGGGTCTGAACCCATTGCGAAACCACTGCCAGAGAGAGCCTGTCCTTTGCTGTCCGTAACGAGCCACTAGTGCACTCAAGTATCCATTGCAAATGAGAGATACTCATGCAACACAAATAATCGAGTGGCGTCGGAACTGGAGAGGCATGCTTCGTGGCCAGATTATCGTTGGAATCTCACTCCTAAAATATAATTCAGCTTCGAAGTACTAATCGAGTTGATTAAATCAACCATTACCAGTTTGGATTTACCATTTATCAACAATGGGAGAATATCATTTCATAGAAAAGTACGTGGACCACATACAAGGTGAGGACGTGGACGGTCCACGGTGGACCACAATTATTGGGACAATAGATCGAATATGTGTTCCTCTCAAAAAACGATACTTTATTTTTGGTCACGGATGATATTCGGAAAGTTCATCCGTGACCAAAAATAAATTAGGCAGACCTAGTGAATTGATGCCGTACAGAGTTTGAGCTGGCAAAGTCTTATGGGTGGCCAAAATAATTATTCCTCCAGTGCCAACACAGATAGTTCGTGTCGTCTCCAAAGCTCGAGGATCTTTCGACTCTTTTAGGTGAACGCCTAACAGGAGAATAATATCGCTACCATCGATCAGGTCATTCAAACGGCGCCAACTATCAAACATGCTGACAAACAAGTGCATCATATCTATACCGGCGAAGATAGCGTAGAAAGTGTATTCGCGGGTATCATTACAGAATCGCAAAAGAAGAAGAAACCACACTTTAATTTTATGTTGAGGATATCGGCACTATCATCGTATTTCCTGTATACATAATGATGACGTCGTACTTTCAGGACTTTTTTTTTAGTTAATTCAGCATAAAAATAAAGGATGTCTGCAAAAATGAGGGATATAATTTGATCGATTGTGATTATACAACCTTGTTGAGATAGCGCATATTCGAACACATTAGAGGAAGCTGGTGCTGAAGAGCAGGAACTAACCACACCGCACTTCATTTCCAATTAGCATGCTAATCTCAGAAAGATTAGAAGTATTATTATTTATGACAGAGAATATCATGTTGTATTGGATTTTGTATTGAGCAAATTCGGGATTCCAAAATCCAATAATCTCGCCATTACAAATGATGGAGATTCTCCGAAATGATTCTCCATTGGGGAATCATTTCTGGGAGTTGCAACTGTAGCCGAAGTACTTTAAGGTTTAGGATGCTGTCGTGTGCGCTACAAGTCGTAGCTAAGTACCACGAAGCTTTGAAAATTTTCTCAAGGAAATCATGTAATATACTTCGAAGTAGACCATTTCAACTATGCGTGATTCCTCATCTACTCGGACGACGATGAGGACGTCTTCTGAGGGAAGCACGGGAACATCTTGAGGTCCTTAATATCGTTCAATGCGGCCATGCCCTCCATGAACGCCTTGTTCGGCGTGAGCCAGTCATCTTCCAGGAGACCTTCGGTGAACGTGCCGAAGGTGTCAGCAGGGTTGAACTGGTATGCACTCTCCGGATTAAGAGACCACATGTAGCCACCAGCGTACCCTGCCTTGAGCATGACCTCAATGGTGAAGTCGGTCGTACGTTTTGTGGTTTTCTTCGGGTGGGCGTCCTTACTATACAAACCAGCGAATTCTCCCATAACCATCGCCGAGTTTTTATCCACTCCAAGCAAGTAGCCGAACATTTTGTCCATGGTTATCTCGACATTCCTTCGCAGCGTATCGTCGTCGAGCTCCACGTAGGTCTTAAACGCACCCGACTCGTCCTTCGCACCTGTGGACGCATAGAGATACCAGGCAGGGAAGACGCCCGTATTGTAGTAGTGAGGGGCCCAGACCACCTTGTTCTCCGTGGTTAACTCAACAGGGTTTTTCCCTGCGTTTTCGAGACCACCACCCCACCAATCATAGTACGTGTCAGTTCTGTCACCAACCGAGACGGTGCCCGAGCTGGCGATCCCTTCAACGAATGCCATCCAGTTCGGACAGCCTTTGAGCATGCGGTTGCCAATGAGAGACGCTCCCTTTTGCCAATCCGGGGCCGCACCGCCCCACGAACACTCGTGCGGCTCATTCTTGAGATCCAGACCGAGAATATTCCAGTACTTTGAAGTGCACAAGTTCTTGGTAAGAATGTCGACGGCACTGAGGAATTGCGCCTCCGTCACATCGAGTTCATCGCTGTACCAAGCACCTCCCGACTTCTTTGTGTCCAAAGTGTGGAGACTGATCATGACCGTGATCTTGCGGTATCCAAGAGCCTGGATGATCGTCTGAAGCGTGCTCATGTACGTCGTAATGTTGATTGCACGGTTTGTATTGAGATTGATGAGGGTTTTCTGAGGAGCGGTGTTCTTGAGGATGTTCTTGATACACACAGGCAGACGCACACTGTTGTACTTGTTGCGTGCCAAGAAGGCTGCGACTTCATATACTGAGGTACCATTGTCCATATTTTCCCAGAGTCCGAAGGGGATGGCCAGACCGGTTTCCATACCAAACCAATTGACTCCTTTGATACCTACTGGTACTTCCGTGCCATTCTCGGACACGGCAAAGATCTGGCCGTCTTTGCTCTGATAATCTGGCAGTTCACAGCCCATGTCCGGGTACTTCTTTGGGTTACCAACTTGTCCATCGTCCGAGATTATGATTCCGTCATCCGTTAGACCGTCGTTGATCCTGCGACGCTCTTCCGACCTGTTCTCATAACGAGATTGTCTAGTGGTAGCGTCGTTGTTCTCACTAATGGCACACGCCGTAATGATTGCAGCCGCTCCACCGACGATCAGACACATAAGAATAATTCCTCGCCATGTCTGTCAAAAGCCGATACTACGCGTTAGTATTCATTAAGATGAGTAGACTTCCTACATAATGCGCGTACCCGGATCCGGCCTTTGTAGTCTTGCACGCGTTCTGGCGGTAAATTGTCGCTCGGTTCCAAAGCCATGAGTTTCATTTCGGTCTGTCGTTGACTCATAGTCTCTCGACCAGACTCGGAAATAGGACCTTGCTCCATATAAGCGCTTGCTCGGCCACTCGTGTACTCGGAGTTCCTGAAGGTGGTAGCAGGAGGATCTGTCGAGTCCGCAGTTGCAGAGGTCGACTTCGGTATCGGCCGAACCACGCTAACCTCCATGTTTAGGCGTTAAGGAGATGGAAAAGATACTGGAGCTACCTCGACAATCCAAATTGGAGAATGAATCGTAAAAAAAAGGTTTGGGACGAATCTCATCTCGAGACGGAGCAGCATGCGATTGTTTCGCACTTATGGAAGCAGGTTTCAAGCAGTTGCCGGTAGTTAATTCTGGATGAAAAAGTGGGTAGTTTCCGCTAAGTAGTAACGGATGCAGCTAAGTTACAAGAAGAAATATTTCGAGTTCGAAATGATACATTTTTCTCGGTTAACTACATCCCAAGAGCAAAAAAAGGTAAAATAGAGAAAACGGCCTAAGCAGCTTACTCAGACCCGGCGTCGCTCTCCACCTCCACTTCAAAGCACGGGAACATCTTGAGGTCCTTAATGTCGTCAAGAGCAGCCATGCCTTCCACGAAAGCCTTGTTGGGTGTGAGCCAGTCATCTTCCAGCAGACCTTCGGTGAACGTGCCGTACGTATCAGCTGGGTTGTACTGGTACGCACTCTCCGGGTTGAGCGACCACATGTACCCACCAGCGTACCCTGCCTTGACCATAACCTCGATGGTGAAATCGGTTGTGCGCTTCGTAGTCTTCATCGGGTGGGCGTCTTTGCCGTACAGACCAGCGAATTCCCCCATAACCATGGCAGTATTAGGGTCCGAAGTGACCAGGTATCCAAACATTTTGTCCATGGTTTTTTCGACATTGTTGCGCAGCGTATCGTCGTCCAGTTCAACGTAATCTTCACGGGCTCCTTCGGCGTTCTGGGTGCCAGAAGCATAGAGATACCAGGCAGGACTCACGCCGGTATTGTAGTAGTGAGGAGCCCACACGAGCTTGTTCTCGACGTCAAACGTGATCGGATCGCCGCCAGCATCAGCGAGACCTCCGCCCCACCAATCGAAGTAGGTGTTCTCTTCGCCATTGAGTGTGATCGTGCCCTTAGAAGCGATACCTTCAACGAATGCCAGCCAGTTGGGACATCCTTCCAGCATCCTGTTACCGATCAGAGTGGCTCCCTTCTGCCAGTCTGGATCCTCGCCACCCCATGAACACTCGTGGGGCTCGTTCTTAAGATCTAGACCCAGAATGTTCCAGTATCTGGACTTGCACAGATTCTTGGTCAAAATGTCCACAGCGTCCAGGAAATCGTCCTCTGATACGCCCAGATCTTCACTGAACCAGGCACCGCCGGATTTCTTCGGGTCCAAAGTGTGGAGACTGATCATGACTGTGATGTGACGGTAGCCCAGCGCTTCGACGATCGTCTGGATGGTCGTAATGTACGACGTGATGTTGATGGCGCGGTTGGTGTTCAAATTGATCAAAGATTTGTCCGGCGCCACGTCTTTTAGGATGTTCTTAATGCACACGGGCAGACGTACACTGTTGAACTTGTTGCGAGCCAGGAAGGCCGCCACTTCGTACACTGAAGTGCCGTTGTCCATGTTCTCCCAGAGACCGAAGGGGATGGCAAGACCTGTCTCCATACCGAACCAGTTGAGGCCCTTGATACCCACAGGAACCTCCGTGCCGTTCTTAGCGACGGCAAAGATCTGGCCGTTTTTACTCTGGTAATCGGGCAGTTCACAGCCCATATCGGGATATTTCTTGGGGTTGCCCACTTGTCCGTCGTCCGAGACGATCACGTTGTCGTCGTCAAGTCCGTCTTTGATCTTCCGACGGTTCTGCGCTGCGTTCTCGTACCGCTGGGCGTTGATGTTCGCCTGGTCCTGCACGTCGATGGCGTTGATGGTGATGAGGGCCACAGCGGCGGCCACGATGGCCAGCAGCAAGAGGAGACCGGGCCACGTGCGGATGCGGCCTTTGTAGTCCTTGGTACGCTCTGGGGCCGCGCCGAGGTCCGGCTCGACGGCCATGAGCTTCATCTCGGTCTGTCGCTGGCCGCCAGGGCCGTACATGGCGCTCTCGCGGCCTCCAGACTCGGTGAGACGAGAGGATTCCATGGCTTCGCGCGTGTACTCGCTGTTGCGGAAGGTGGAGCCGGACACGGGCGCGCCGCTCATGGAGCCCACCATGGGGCGGGAGATCTCGGCAGCCTCCGCCATTCTACGCTACAGCTCGAGTCGGAAGGTTAGAGAATGGGGGGATTGCAACAAGCGTGCAATAGGCAGCTTTGTATTGACTTGCAAGTGGCAGAGAGGCCAGTTTGTCGACATGCGTCCTCAGTGTGATAATGACCCGTTTACGCACGCTTCGGACAGCAAACACAAATTTTTCCGCACGCTGAACTTGCAAAAAAAATCGATGGCCAAGGCAACTTGGTTTTTGGTGCTGCCTGGGCTCATGGAGGCATGCTATTGTGTTTCCAGACGAACATGGTACGCCGTTGTTGGCAACGCGTAGTGAAAAATGGCCGTTCGGACTGCATTAATAGTACATAACTTCAGCATTTATTAAAATTGAAAAAAAATACAGCTTGGATTAATCCAATCGAATACAGACCACGTCACCGTAGGATTCCAGGGGTTCCTCAGTTCCTCAGCTGCATGAATCCACTGAACGTCAGGCAGCGGCGACAGTGTCGAATTGCCTCGTGTTGCCGACACTCGATCGCAATTAGGTATGCCTTCGATTCTGAACTTTGAAACGGCCGTAAATTGTAGGATGCCGCTTCATTAAGCAGTCGCTTGCCTGGCTCAAACCCTCACGTTCGATGAGTGCAAAACACATCCGCGCCGCACACCGATACGTGTAACATGACAACATGACAGAGTTTGCATCTCCGCTGGATCGATCTGAAATGCAAACCCAAACGTATCGTTGGATTGCCAACCGAATTCTGGGTACTCGGTATAATATAAAAGTAAAATATGTGACCAAAGTATCAGTTCATGTACATGTCTCTAGGCTGCACCTCAAATACAGCAGAACCTACGGCGTCGTAGGAGCTTCAGCGCCACTTGCGCCACCCTCACTCGTCTCTTCTTCAGTAGAGCTGCCCGTAGACGCCTCATTCGAGTCATTTGCCTTCGTTTTCACCGCGTTGTTCTGGCCTTTGCTCTTGCTGGACGGAGCACGTTTGCGTTCCTGCTTGGCCTGTTCTACACGAGCCCGTACTGCCTCTAGAGGAGCGTAGCTGGCATCGTCCATGAGCGGCAACAGAGCGCGACGCAGACTGTTGTACATATCTGGATAGAGACTCTCCTCTTGAGCCAGCATCTTCTTGACTCGGTGACGCTCCTTCGGCTCTTCGAAGCACGCGGGACAGTTCTCGTTAATTACGGGTAGACGCGAGTCATACGCGAATTTCTTGAGCTCAACCTCACGCACATAAGCCAGAGGACGCAGAACTTCCACGTCGCGCTGGTCATTCCAGTACTTGGCCTTCATCGTACGCAGCTGTCCGTTGTGCATGGCCGACATGAAGAAACTCTCGGCCAGATCGTCAAGATGCTGAGCCAGGACCAGCTTGTTGAAGCCGAATTTACGGCAGCAAGAGTATAAAACACCGCGTTTCATACGCGAACAGTAGCTGCACAGCGAGTCCCCGTTCATCTCACACGTCGCACGTTCAATGATGTTCTCCGACAGATAGTGATACTCCACGCCCAGCGCTCGCATGTATTCCTTCAGTGGACTCGGGTCGAACGACGGCGTCTGTGGGTCCACCGTCGCACAGGCGAGTTCGAAGCGGACAGGAGCGCGTTTCTGGAAGCGCAGGAGCACATGCAACAGACTGAGCGAGTCTTTGCCGCCCGACACACCCAGCAGCAGTCGATCTCCTTCTTGAATCATATCCCACTGCATCAAAGCCTGACCCACCCAACGCAGGAGTTTCTTCGGTGGAGTGGGGAACAGCTTGGTCTTTGTCGTCTTTTCCGTCATGGCTGTGGTCGTCTCCTGTACCGTCGTTGCCGTCGAGCAGGTCGGAGCTGTACGAACTCCACAGAGGCCAGTGTTGCAACTGACGTTGGTCTGTGTGGTTGCTGGAGTTTCAACATCAGTGGCATTGGTCGAGCGAAGAGGGTACTTGCCTCCAGTCTCCCGGCCGTTATTGGTGTTAGCTGGAGCTGGAACGGGACACGTCGTAAGTCCACAGACAGGAGTAGAGCTACGAGGAGTGACATCCGTCCACTGATCCTTCAGCTCTCCCGTTAGATACCGTGCAGGTTGGTACGGACCACGGATAACTTCAGTCACGGTTGGTTTTTCTCCCTTTTTGAGGGCTTCCACCGCCTCGGAAGGATACACGAACCAACGTAGAGCTTCGTCGTCCGTCTGCTCCAGCATCTGTGCAGCCGACGCCGCCACCACTTGAGAAGGAACAGTCTTTGCACTCACTTGATCCGCTAGTCGACGTGCTTCAGCCAAGTTCTCAGCTCGGTGAACAGCCAGCGTTCCCTCGTCGTCCTCAAGACTCTTGGATCGCGTCTTGTCCTCCAACGCCGTGGCGAAGTGAGAGATCCACTTGCGGTCCGGGAACTTGGTGAAGCGCGTCCAGTGTTTCCACACGCCACTCTTGTGGTTAAACTTGTACTGCGGCAGGAACTTCCAGCCGTCCGTAGCCACAACGTTGACAGCACTCAGCACGTACTCGAGCTCTGCATCGCTCATAAAGTACGGGAAACTCATACGTGTGAAGCCAGGACGCAGCATCTCCTTCTTGTCGATCAGAGCGCTTTCCAGTGCCAATACATCGCGACGTGCTAGACCCAGCAGACGCGTGGCGTACGGACCGGCACATTGACAGCCACCGCGTGTCTGGACTCCGAAGAGATCGTTCAGCAAGGCACACACGAAGTTGTAGTGCAGGAAGCGGTCGCCGAAGCGCACGAGGAACGAGAACACGGGGATCTGCTCCACCGCGCTGTCTTGACGTCCTAGCAGCACGATGTTCTTGTTCTGCTGCAGAGATTCACGCACGCGCTGCACGTTACGTCGCTCTAGAATCATAATGTTCTTGGTGCCTACACGCTGCTTGAGTTCGAATGCAAGACCTAGACGGATACTGCCTAGAATATCGGGAGTGCCGCCCTCTTCACGCTCCGCCCGGTTCGACAGATAGCGGTGATCGTTCTCGGTAACGAAGAACACTGTGCCGCCGCCAGGAACCGTAGGAACTGCGTTTGTCAGCAGACGCTTCTTGACAATCAGGACACCAGGAGATCCCGGTCCGCCGATAAACTTGTGGCCGGAGATGAACACGGCGTCCTTGTAGACGAACGGACGGCGCGTCTCGTCCGTCACCACGGGGTTCATGTCGATGTTGACGTAGGGCGCGCACGTCGCGTAGTCCCAGCAGGCCAGAGCGCCATGCTGATGCAAGAGCGCAGACACGGCGTCCACGTCGGCGAGCACGCCGGTCAAGTTGGACGCGGCCGAGAAGGCTCCGATCTTGAGTGGACGCGCCGCGTACATCTGTAGCTGCGTCTCCAGCGCCTTTAGATCCATCTGTCCGTGCTCATTCTCCGGGATTGTAACGATTTCAGCCGCGCTCTCACGCCAGGGCAGCAGATTCGAGTGGTGCTCAAAGGGACCGACGAAGACGACGGGTTTCTGGTCGGGCAAGGCGTTGATGCTGAATTGTTGCAGCCCTAGAGCCTGTACGAGCTTGTTGATGGCGCTGGTGCTGCCTTGACCCGTGAATAACACGCAGTCTTCGGCGCCACGGCCCGTAATCTTGGCGTTGACAGCCTGTGCTACGATCTGGCGAGCTTCGTGACGGAAGCACGTGGTCTGTAGGCCTGTGATGGACGTCGTGGTGTGCGTGTTGCCGTACAGAGGCATCACCTCTCTGTTCAGATAGTCCTCCACGCATTGCAGCGGCTTGCTACTGGCTGTAAAGTCAGCGTAGCATAACACGCGGGACCCAAACGGAGACTCGAATAGTGTCTGGCGGCCCACGACGTTGCGCGTAATGAGATCCACAGCTTGTTGCGCGGCGGCGGAGAGCGGCTGGTCGGGAGCGGTCTCCGGCGGAGGCTGCTCGTGGATCTGGGATGTTAGGTCCTCTTCCAGCTCCTCGCAGAAGAAGCGCGCCGACGCGACTTCGTCTTGCAGCGCCATGAGATCGATGAAATGAGATCGATGAATGGAGCGGAAGAGATGTGGAATTATGATTCCGTCATCATGGCAACAATTGAATAATTTTAAATAAAGACGAATTAATTTATTTTAGTACTTCAAATAAATACTGCATTTTACAAGTAGAGATACTTGTAAATAACAATCATTTCTAATTAATTTATTAAAGCTTTTTGATATTTTAAAAATTATCAAGAAAATAATTTTAGCTTTTGCTAAATATTTATTCAATTAGAAATGATTCTATTATTTTCCTGTAATAAGTTTTGAATTTCTGATTGACTATTTTTAAAAGTATTTTAGTAGTTTTAAAATGCTATTTAAGAATTTTGCAGTGCATCTGTAATTTATCCGTCATTTATTCAAGAAGTAAAATTCTCTAATAGCCAAAACTGGAACTGAAAGAAGCAATTTCACGCAGTCAAGTACGAATTACGACGAAAATTGTGGTGGCTGTAACTTGAAACCTACGTGTGTTTCAAGGCCCCACGTACGACTACTATTCTTAAAATACAGTCATCAATATGTACACAGCGCTAATTAACCATAATAAAATAATGAGAGCTTCAAATAATGGTTGACCGCCGAAAAGTGTCGATTGTTCGCCTGATCGTGTTAGATAACCTATGCTAAAAAATGATTTTAGAAATCTAGTGGAAATTTCCTGGTAAATAGTCCAGTATTTTATAAACACTATAAGACTGTTCATCAGAAAATATCGTGAGGTGTATTCGTACTTGGCTGCGTGAAATTGCTTCTTTCTGTTCCATTTTTGGCCAATAGAGAATTTTACTTCTTAAATAAATGACGGATAAATTACAGATGCAAGCCAAAAAACCACAATTTTCGTCGTGATTCATTGTTTTCACTGATTTCCACTTTTTCGTAAGATAAACGAACAGTAACTCCAATAGACCCGGAAGAACTTGGAGCCTTGAGCTTGCAGAACATATTTTCCTGCTTAATATGGCCATGCATTCTGGAGATTCGATTTGAAGTTTGCATCGCTGAACGGTAATTTGGCATTCACCGAAATCGGTGTTGTTCACCTTGAAGCTTGAGGCCTGCCTTAGTGATGATCACTCCGATAAATCCGTCACATCAACTTTTGCTAATGGGTACATGCACTTCAAGCAAATGACCAAGCAGCAGGAAGCAATTGAATCTGCTGGTTGAAGGCCTTGCCATCTGTGATCGGTGGTGTGCTTGACTCACCTGCGTTGGAAGAACAAAAACGTTATGCGGCATACCGTTCCTGTTCTTATGCTACATGCATTAACATGTACTTCGAAGTAAAGTTCAACGACAAGTCGTAAGGCTCTAATATCAGTGAGCTGCATTATTTCATGTGTACGCTGAAAGTTTACTACTAAAACAAGAAACCACTACGCGTTGTCACGCGCTCTGCTCGAGCGAGTGACGGAATTCCGATCGTCCCCTCCTCCACTCTAGTGTACGCCTTCCGTCTACTGGCACTTCTGTGGTCCGCCGAACACGGCGCACATCGCTTCCTCCTCATTCAAGACGCTCTTCTCCACGTCTGTCCTCTTGTCCTTCATAGCTTCCAACTCTGCTTGCATGAACATCTTGAGCACGAACCGCCCCATCAGACTGCGCTTCATCGTGCCCAGGGACGGCACGCCCTCCCATATCTTGTGAACCGAGCCGTCCAGGTAGCGCTGGGGTTGGCACGGACCTTCAATCTTCTCTGCGAGCGGCATCTTCTCACCCGTTTCCTTGTAGGCGGCGACGGCCTCGTGCGGGTACACGAACCAGCGCAGCCACTCGTGTGCCGGTACCAGCTTCTGCCCTTCCGAGAACTCCTCGGCCGATACAGCCTCCTTAATACAGGCGTCCGCCAAAAGAGCAGCCTGTTCCAGGTTCTCGCGGCGGTGGACAGCAATGCTACGAATAGGAGCGGTGCAGACAGACTGGCGCACCGTATCCACGTCGTCGAGCTGCATGCTAGCCAGGAACTTCTTGGCCGGGAACGGGGCGGTGGCCCGCGAGACGTGACGCCACGCCCCGTTGTGAGGATCGTACTCGTACTTGGGTAGGAATTTCCAGCCGTGATCGGCCACGAAGTTCACCGCGTCGAGGATGTACTCAACCTCCCCTTCGTCGGCGAAGTACGGGAAGCTCATACGGGCGACACCCGGTTTCAGCACCTCGTCCTTGGCGACAACTGCGTAGCCCAGAGCCGTGATATGTTCACGACTGAGACCAAGCAGGCGAGCACCGAAGGGACCGGCACACTGGCAACCGCCACGGGCCTGGATACCGAACAGGTCGTTCAGTAGGGCACACACGAAGTTGTGGTGCAGGAAGCGGTCGCCGAAACGGACCAGGAACGAGAAGATCGGCAGCTGGTCCACATTGTCGTGGCCGAGCAGGATAATGTTCTCGTTCTTGCCCAGCACCTCGCGGACGTGACGCACGTGTTGGCGTTCGAGGTCCATGATGTGCTTGGGACCAACACGTTGCTTTAACTCGAAGGCGAGACCAAGACGGATACTGCCCAGAATGTCGGGGGTGCCGCCCTCCTCACGTTCTACCTTGTTAGCTAGGTAGCTGTGGGCCTTTTCAGTAACGAACAACACGGTACCGCCACCAGGCATGGTGGGCACCTCGTTGCTCATCAATTTCCTTTTGACTACCAACACACCGGGGGAGCCGGGACCACCCACGAACTTGTGGCCGGAGAAGAAGACCGCGTCCTTGTAAGCGGCAGGGTCCTTGGGGTTCATGTCCACGTCGACATAGGGGGCACAGGTGGCATAGTCCCAGCAGGACAGGGCGCCGTACTTGTGCAGCAGCTTTGAGACCTTGTCGACGTCTGCCAGCATGCCCGTAAGATTGGAGGCAGCGGCGAATGTACCGATCTTAAGCTCACGGTTCTGATAACTTTGAAGTTGACGCTCGAGCTCCTCCAAGTCGAGACCGCCAGTCTTGGCCTCAGGGATCTCGACCACATCGACAGCGTACAGCTCACGCCACGGTAACAAGTTGGAGTGGTGCGAGAAGGGGCATGTGAAGACGACCGGGCGTTTGTTTGGACGATGGTGGCGACGCATCGTGTTGAGACCAAGGGCAGTAATGAACTTGTTAATTGCACTGGTACACCCTTGACCACTGAACAAGACAACGTCACGAACTCCGGTGCCATGGAGACGGGCGTTCACCGCCTTGCCAATGATCTGGCGAGCCTCTTCACGGAATGAGGTGGTCTGCAGACCCGTGACCGACGTGGTGGTGTGCGTGTTACCGTAGGTAGGCATGACCTCGTTGCGGATGAAGGTCTCAATGCTCTCGATGGCCTTGCCACTGGCTGTGTAGTCGGCGTAACACTGGGCTTTGGTGCCGAACGGCGTCTCGAACGGCACGTTGCGACCGATCATATTTTCGGCAATATCATGCAGTAACTGCTCATCCAGTTCATGTTCTTCTTCTTCTTCGACTTGGACGTCGTCACCACCGTCGACCGATGAGATGTCGGTGGCAATGGAGGTTCGAACAGTCATACGGCGGTCAGCCTCCTTCATGACACCAAGAGCAATCTCCGTATCAATGTCGGTCGTGGGGCCATCGGTGATGCTGTTGGAGCTGGACGACGTCTCCGACTCGGTATCACGCTTATCTTCTTCGTCATCGGTTTTCTTCTTCTGCTGGTCAATGCGTTCAGCCTCAAGGTCAATAGACGACGTGTCCGTCTGGGCCAACGGGTTAGTGGAGCTGGACGACAGCAGGTCCTTGTCCTCCATATCTTCCTTGACCGGCGGCTCAACGGCCAACAGGCTGCGACGCGGCAGCGAACTCTCGTCAATACTGTGGCGCAACATGGATACTTTAGACAGACGAAGCGAACGCGCACTCGCTCAGGAGATCGCCAACCGCTAGACACCTTTACGTTTGGTGTGAATTTCGGAAGTGGCAAGCACGGCACCAAGTGTTTTTCAGCGGGTGCCTGCAGAGGTCAGGCATCTCGACTAGGAAAGCTTGGCCGCTTTCTGATTGTTGAGGTCCGGAGACCGGGATTCAAGCACGCCATGCCGCTGC